AGAGAGGTATACATTGAAACAAACCAAACGCGTAATTTACATACCTTTTTATCCCTACGATATAAATCACGGTCACGTTTTTTTTCATAAACAACAGATTTTTTACCTTTATTTAACACCAAGAGACGTTTTTCCGAAGTAAAATTATCAAAACCTTTACAAACGGAAGAACGATCAATAATCTTATATCTTTGGTTATCTTCTAACGAAAACCAACTTGACGTAATGATGTTATCATTTTCATCTATTAAAGAAAACTCTTCAACATCAAAAGCTTTTGCTATTTCTTGTTTGATATCGTCTTTGGAATCAGTTTGAAAAAATCTAAATTTTATATATGAACTCGAAGAAGTTTGAGACTGACAGTCTTGGTTGTCATCTATATTATCATGAGGTAAAGGCGGATAAGCAAGAGAGAGTTTGACTAATATGTTTTTTTGAGGTGGATTGGTTAAAGCAATATCTAAATAAGAATTTGGATGAAATGAAGACATTGGATTGTTTGAAGGTATTTGCGATGGAGATGACATTGTTTTGATTTAAATAAGTACGCGTCGTAATATCGTAATAGTTATAATAATAGATGGAATAATTATAAAAGTAATAATAGTTATAACAGTAATATCGTTATAACGGTAATAATCGTTATAACAGCAATAATAATTGTAACAGTAATAATCGTTATAACAGCAATAATCGTTATAACAGCAATAAAAAAAAAAAATAAGAATTATAACAGTAATAATTTACAGCAATAATAATAGTTATAATAGATGATTTTGTCCGAATTTTGAATTATATAGATTTAATAAAAGATGATAATTAGTTCGATGCTATTAAGAAAAGATCGCAAAATAATCGTGGTCGAAGATAAAGAAATTGCATAGATTATTTATATAAGATTCTGATAACATAACAAATTATAAATTATTGTTATGCTAATTAAGAATTTATATAACTATGGACAACTTCAATGGGAGTTTCTAATCCGACGCAAAATTGACAAGCAACTTTAGCATAACATCTTGACAATCCGTTAATACAGTAATATAATTAAAACAACCTATTAACCTTAATTAGAGTATATGCATATATAGTATGATATAAGAGATTTTAAAAAGGAAAATTAATCATTGTCCGATTTATTTTTCATCATGGTTAGTTGTACACTTGTTTTGAGAAAACTTAATGTGGTATTAACTATGCATTAATTATCACTTATTTGTTGTTTAAAGGAAATTTTTTTCCTTTTTTTTCAACGACGTACATGATCGATTCAGGAATATAGTCAAAAAATTAGTAAACATTATCCACGTTGTGAAAACTAAATAGTCAAATAAATTATAACAGACAATGATAAACGAGTTTTGAAGCGGGATAATAAATCAGATTTGGATTTTTACGGTAGCTAGCTGTATTCTTTTTCTCTAATTTCTTACGTACTCCGTTATCATTATTAGTTTACCTTTTTTGTGCATTCACATAGCAGCTTGTAATACTTATTATTAAAATTGATCTATAATCACGTATTAATACGAAAATAATATTATGTATTATCAGTTATGCTTGTTATATCTTTTACGTAACTAATATATACACATTTTGGTACCCTCTAAGTTTTAATGTGTAAAATATAAAATAACTATACAGTGGATACCTTCGTCCGCGCGGCATTTACGAACACTTTTTCCGTGCAATGTCCGCAATACTTTCGTTTTCTCTATTCATATTCCTAAAAATAAATGTAGATCATCATCCAAATATCTATTCATTAGCTGCAATGTCGATACCACCTGCTTGTTTAGTAAAGTCAATTAGGTAAGTAATTTTTCTTATTTTTTCTCTTATTAGGAACTAAAAAAAATTTAGACTTTGAAATTTTACAGTATGAATTCAATTGCATAAAACGAAATGCTATCCCCGATCATTCAGAAACCACAAGTAGTCGGGATTATCATTACTAAAACATCCGAATTTTTTCTAATTTTAGTCTTCCGGCCGACCGTCCAAATTTGGATCGTCTAAAGCGGAGATAAACCATGTGACAATAAACCAATCAAATCGCGATAAATTTGAAGCTAAAAAGGTGAAAAAAGGTGAAAAAGTGAAAAATATGAAAATAGAAGAAATGGCAGTCTATACCTGCTTTTGAGCATTGATAAAAATATATCGGGAAGGCAATGTTACTATATCAATACACCTAATTCTAATATAACCTAGCCTAACCTAAAGTTGTCAATAATAAATTATAAATTTCACATAAATTTCACGAAAACATAACCACTATCGCTACATCTAATAAAAATGTAACGAATAAAAAAAACATTGACGGATTATTAAATCGTAAATGGTGTTTTTTTGTTACAGCGGTTTATTTTGAGACTAAACAGATAAACTTCTGATTTCGGCCGACATCAATGCTTTTAATGCCGTAACTTAACGGTTGTTAGAAAATTTTCAATTGTCCCTGAATTTATGAAACAGAAACTAAATTTAATTAGATATTATTATCGCATATATATTCCAAGATATAGAGTACGCATGTTCTTTTAAAGTTGAATATTATTCATTGTGCGATTTATTCTCTTACCTTAGTCGCACACTTGTTCTTAATCTATTTTCACAAAGCACTTGATCGTTACATTTATATACCGTATTTAAAAGCCATGAGAGAATATGCACTTAAGTTTGTTCATTTTATGCTTAATTAAGTAAATAAATATTTCAAAAAAATATTTTATTCCGCCATTTAAAAAGTTTCATTGCTGTTATTCTTTTGATTACCTTTTCTGTAATTCGGGGTATCCCAATATGTTAAAAATTTTAAAACTCCGTTCACATTGTTGCCACCAAAATCAGGTACGTACGTACGTACGTACTTGATTAAGGTTGTTCTCAAGCATTTCCCTCTATAAAGTGATCCGATTGGCTTAAAAAATAAATCGTGTTTAATCATTTTGGTCAAAAAAACCTGGAGCTAACAACCATCTTTTTTTCATAGAGTTACTCCAATTGGCTGAAATTTAAATTGGCTGAAATTTAAAATTCGCATTTCGCACAATGCAAAAATTGTTACAGGGATCACTTCAATTAATTTTGATAATCGAAATAATTGAGCAGCATCTCGATCATTTGCAAATTACATCGAGGGAGCTGCTTGAGAACAACCTAAATTTATTTTCTGAGGTAATTCGCGGTTAATATAAAAAATAGCATTTACCGTATTCCACCGTAAATAAGCACCATCCCCTCTACCCCATTTTTTTAAATGTCAGATTAGCGGAAATCGCAATAAGACCTTTATCCAAATTATTATTCCCGCTAATTTGCATTTAAAAAAAAATGGGGTAGAGGGATGGTGCTTATTTACGATAGAAGATGGTAACAGAAATTTTCGGAAATCTTTAGTTTTCCTATAGAGTTGGAATGCAACTGGATTACAATGAAAAGTTCTGTCACAGGCTAAAAAGTAGATCTATGAAATTAGCGCAGTAAAATCGTGACAATAGTGGATTTACCATCGGAATTCTAGATCGACCAGTACATGAGGCTTACCTACCGAATAATAGGAATGATAACCAACGTGAAATCCGAAGAAGAATTCTGAAAAGAATAAACGAAGATCAAGAGATGCGTATGAAGAAAGGAAAGAAGATCGAATAGCAAAATTTAGATATAGTTGAGGTGGCTGTAAAGCGAATGATTGTAGTGAGCGAAACAAAACCTTACTTTGTTAATAATGTTGTAAATTATTATTTAAGCCTCTTACCTTTAGAAATAGTTTTCTATAAATTGTTAAAGATGTAATATGTGAATCACCCCTAAGCCCTTGAACCCTTTGCATTCGCTAAAGCTATAAAAACTCTAACATTTCGCTCTTTTCAGAACATCATCCTACGGGATTCCAAAAAATACTTCATAATACATTTAATAAATCCCCTGATAAATACTTTTAATAAAGTAACTTATTAACCAAATCACCAACGTCACGCCTCTGGCGAGTTGCCTTAAATATAAAAATACTTCATTTTCATGTTTGTACTAATTAAACCTACGAATCGCCCCGTAACAGTTCCCTTGACTTTTAACAAATATTCCAAAATAAATTATTCCAGTTTTAATAGTGGTAAAAGTTTTAAAATCTGATTATTAGATTGTGAGGTATTGGCATTTCTTCTTTGTATGACTAACATATTGCCAGAAACCTTTGCCATTCCAAGATTATATAAATCTAGTTATATCGACATCAGGATATGCCGACATCTGGCTATAACACTTTTTTAAAATTTGAGCCTATATACTTAATATGAAAATGCCTCTGGTTAAACCGACACCTGGATATATCGATCAATTTCTTTAGTTTTTTTATAACTAGAGTGATGTGTAATAATAATTCTTCAATTTTTTTACTATGAAATTTATATATCTGCGATCTACCACTTAAACATTTGGAAGCAAAAAAGAAAGTATAATAGTTATAAGAAAAAGAAAATATTATAAAATCTGAAGAGCTTGAACACATGATTTATAAAAAAGGCTCTAAACATTGAAGAAGGGAGCAATACACATATTGGTCTCAAGATACTATTCAAATAATTAACGATTTAGGAGAGTGGCATCATTTTTCTACATAGAAGTTTGTTATTATACGCATTATTCTTTCAAATTTCCTAAACTTAGGCTGTTTTCAAGCACCTACCTCGATGGATTTACGGAACAATCTGATTGGTTGAAAAAATTGATTGTGATTTTCACTTAGGTCAAAAAAACCTGGAGGTGCGACCACCAATTTTTTTATAGAAATGTGCTGATTGGTTAAAATTTATCATTGATTGAGTAATGATAGAGACTGCTCAAATATATTTTTTTCATTTAAATTTTTTTTTTA